TACATTGTACATTCTAAAGTCTAAAATTATTATTAATTAAAAGTGTATAAATAACTAATTAATTAATTTTATTGTTCAATTAAATATTGTTAAATAATAGTTATTAAAAATATTAATATTAACAAAGTGTATAGTTATTTGTACGGTGAATTTATAATTTATCGATCATCGTACCTACAAGCAGTACATTTTTAATTCATTTAATTTAATAACTAATTCAGTTTACTCTTCTCTCAGTCAATTAAATCAGGATAATAATAAAAATAATTTAAAATGTTACATTTATTAAAAGTTAAATATAACAAAATATTCGTGAAATAAAATATAAAATAAGAATGTATATTGTAATTCTAAAAATTTAAAAAGAACAAATGCTTATAATATTTAACGAATAAATTTCTGAACATATAAATTTTTACAATGTGTTATCTTTAATACAAAAGGATAATATAAAACATGTAATAATTTACAAATTATTTAAAGATGATTATTAAAAACATGCAACATAGTATTTAACATTTACAAAATATTGAATTTACGAAGTATGAAATTTAATAAATCGTAAAAATTTCTTAAAATAATATCTATAAACAAGTTATATCATTAATGATCTCTGCCATCATATTTTTATCTTGTAAAGCTACATTCAGCTCTTCTTGATCCCATTCCAAATTTATTTTTGTCAAACGAGGTTCTTTTTTCCTCGTTAATTTTAAAATTCCTCTAGTTTCAATCAATGAACATAAATTGTAAAATTCAGAACCATCAACAGCATGAATATTTCGTTTATTGCAAACTTTTTTATATACTTCATGCAACTAAAACAAAATTATAATGTTATATGTGAAAAACTTTTATCAAATAGTTATCTACATTATTGTATACTTACTCTTCCTACTGACACATCTTTATTTCGTCCCTTATTTAGAATAAGTAAAAAAGAACATAATAGCAATTTTTGTTGTAATGGAAATGTACTTTCTTCCTTTTCAATATTTTGAGATCCACCATAAACACCATTTAAAACGGTCATAACTTCTTTTAGATCTACTGAATGGTCCACTGTAGATTGTTGTTTCTTAGATACATTGATTTCTGTAAAAAAGAATTAATTTCATTTAAAAAATATTTACTTTTATTTCACTTTTATTGCATATAATACATACCATTATTACTAGTTGGTTGTAAAACTTGTGCCAATTTATAAGATTCAGCAAGCTCTATTACTCTTCTACTGATATCCAATGCTCTTCTAACATCACCAGAAACAGCAGCAACTTTTCCAGATAACATTTGTATCGCAGTCTTAGTAAACAAATCAGACGCGTTTGCTTCATTTAACCTCTCAGATATTATATTACATATTTCCTGTTTTGTATATGATGAAAAATGCATCAACTCTGGTTTCAATTCACACCTAGCTTGTAATCTAGGCAACATCCTATTTGTTAAATCTAAAGCATTGGCAATTCCAACTAAAATTAATTTCGAATTATGTATTGATGGCCATTCAAAGATAGAATATAAAACAGATTGTTTTCTACTTTCTAATTGATCTATTTCATCTAAAATTAGTAGCAACATTTTGTGATTAGAGCTTAGATATTTTTCAACAACTGCTTTACTGTTTCTTCCAGATTTTGATGCAGATAAACCTAACTCTTGTATAATTTTTGCATAAATTGTAGCAGCAGATTTCATAGTTGTACAGTTAATATAGACTACTTTTAATTTTGACTTAAACTCAGTCTTTAATATAAGCTTTGAAAGGCATGCAGTTTTTCCAGTACCAGGTGGCCCTGATACATATAAGGAACCTGATGTCTCATTTTTTAAATGCTCTTCCATAAACTCTTGTAACTTTTGTAACTCATTTTCTCTACCAGGTAAAGTTTCAGGTATTGAACTATGCAAAGCTCTGCGAGCATTGCGATATCTTTCTGAGTCAAATAATTTTTTTGGTGCCAATCTTTCCTTTTTATTATTAGGTGATTGATCCTTTTTATTATTAGATGCCAAATTTAATTTATCAAAAAGAATAGAAGGTGTAGTTGGAGATGTTAACGTATATGATTTATTTATCTTTCTTTGTTTTGGAGGTGTGCAGCTATGATCTTCTGAAAGAAGAAAAGAATAAAATCATTTACGATATTATATAAAAAATATACAATTATTAAAAACATTCGTAATTCATTTATTATTACCATCAGATTCAGTTGATTTTCTCATACATTGAGGAGTTTTCACACTTATAGCATTGCCACTAATTTTTGCATTTTCTATATCTGAGTCTGAGTCTGATTCGCTACTACTTAAAGTAATAATCTTCTTCACAATCGGTGTATATTTATAAGATGAGTCTCTGGCAGTTGCATTGCTAAAATCTTCTTTCGTTACATTATTTTTAGTTCCATAAAATGAACTTTTTTTCCGTATATTAAATGGAATTGTCGTTTGAATACTTGTCATTTTCTTATTGATTAAATTATTAACATACAATTTTTACAAGCAAGAATTTTATTCTTTCCGAAATAACACGTCTAATACAAACTGTTTCACATTGTTATTCTTTTCGAAATAACACGTCTAATACAAATTGTTTTACTTTTTAACCTGTCATCTTTTCGAAAAACAAAAAGATCATTTAACAATTTGCCCAGAATTTAAATTAAATTTCACATTAGTTAATGTTATCTTAATTTATAAAATAAATGTTCCAATTAATTACTTATACTTTGTTAGAACACGTTTCACAATAAGTGCCGTACTTTCAGATCTGCAGGAAAATACTTTAAACGCGGGAAACTAAAGACATGTGAAAAGGAAACGGATATAGAGATTCCCGCGTAAAAACAAAAATCTGAAGAATACAAAACATTAATTTGAGATAGTACACAATAAAAAAACATACAGATATAAATTGATATTAATAAATGTTAATTATATTATACATGCTGATATGATTTATTTTAATATGATATATATGATATATATGTATAATATGATAAATATGTATGCACAAGAATTTACTATCCCTCTACAGGTAAATACAAGAACTAGAGAGTTCGATATTTTGATGTTTCAAGATCAGATGTGAGCCCTCATGCATTCCTCTTCCATATTGACGTTGTAGCGTGAAGAAAGTTGAAGATTTGAATACCATAGCAATCGAGATATTCTAGAGTAATCTAGAAATCTCGTATTCAGAAAATGAGAGCAAAGGTAATGCGATATTAATGTTTCTTGTTCATTTCAATATTTCCGATAATAAATTTGCTAATACATACTTTTTAAATCATAAAGTATACGTTCCTTCAGTTGTTGTTAAACTGCATGCATAGTTGACATGTTGCAATTTACACTAAGTCAAATTATTTAAAAAAGGCAATTAATAGAAAATTTATAATTTTCAGTGGCGAAAAAAGAGAATGCGTAGGCTAAAACGTAAAAGGAGGAAGATGCGTGCGAGGTCTAAATAAATTTTAGGTCTATAACCTCTCTGTAAGTGCATAACTATACTATAAATATATTGGGGGATATAAAAATAATAAAATAATAACGTTATGTTAATAAATACGTAAATGGATTTTCTATATAAATAGAAAAATTTATCTAAAAAGAAATTAAGAATTTTCAAACAAAGGTCATGATTATAATAGAAATTTATTTGAAAAATATATAACTTCAGTTATTAATTGACTTATTGACTTTATAAAATTTTTGTTTCAGATGTAAGAATCACACAAAATCATCTTGGAAGAATTATACTAATTTCAACTGTGAATATAATTAACTTTTCTTACACAGAGAATTCATTTTATTATTATGTACGTGTCTTGTACAATTTAATAAACTGATCATTTGAATTACTCAAAACCTTTTTTTTTAACCTTATCCTTTTAAAGATAAAAGTTAAAATATATTTTATACCAATGTCGTTAATGATAAAATAGAATAACTGGTGTTATATACTTCGAGTATACTTAACCTCACTTTACGCATATAGAACAACATGCGATCTCTACTAACAAATTTGTTGCGAACAAAAAAACAATTTTGTGAATATTTGAAACCTTCTGTAAATAATATAATAACATATTCTCAATTGAGACAAATTACTATATTTTCAAATAATAGTCAAAAATGGCTTAACAATGATAAAATTGTGAAAACCGAGTCACATAACCTAGTTAGTTCGATTGGTATGACTCATAAAATTTTTGAAGATCAAGATGCAGAAATTATTTTTGATGCCAGTGAAAAACAAGAAGCGATTAATTTAGAAGATTTGAGAATTGAGGAGGAACCTTATGATCCTTATGAAGGAATAAATTTAAAACGTAAGTCAAAACAAACCTTGTTTATGTATAAATTTTTTAATATTGAAGAATATACTAATATTTTTTGTGTAACATATTATTTATTGATTAATTGTTTTTCAGGTGGTATAAGTGGTGTATTTGAAATAGGAGATTTGATATCATTATTACAAAGAGATAATGCCAAAAATATTTTTGTTGCTGCAGTACCTTCTGAATTATCATATGTTGATTACATAGTTATAGTAACAGGTAGATCAAAGAAACACATGCAAGCACTTGCTAATTTTGTCCGTAAAGTATATAAATTAAAAAAGAATAAAACTGATTTCTTGCCAAAAATTGAAGGAGAAAATTCAAATGATTGGATAGCTGTAGATTTAGGTAATTTTTTACTATATTGACAAAATTTGTTATATTTTTAGAATAATTAAATACAGAATAATATTATATATTCCTTTTATTCTTAGGAAATATTGTATTGCATATTTTTTCAAATAATGCCAGATCATTATATGATCTAGAAGTATTGTGGTCAGTTGGACCTGATTATGATGATAAAAATAAAAATTCTACTGAAGATGACATTATGGAACAATATAACACATTTTTATCCGATTTAGAACCAATTGAGAATGACGATGATAAAGAACAAGATGTATATGATAAAAAATAAGATGTATAAAAAACAATAATTATAAAAGTTACATAAACTATGTATATTGTTTTTTATTTATTAGGATATTATTATTAAACAAATAGAATAAAATTTTTAAAACAATTTTCATGCTTAAAAAATAATAAGTGTATGATGAATATTTTCTGAATCCTATATAAATTCAATCATTTTTTCCTCTCCCTTTCCACTCTTTCATTTTGCTCTTCGCGCTCTATTATTATGTTTTCTGAAGTAATTCCCTATTCAATAAGCGTCCATATCTGAAGGCGCTTTATCGCAAACAACAAAATGGAATCTTATCGAATTATCAACTCCATTTCATACGCTGATTAATTTCAATATAGATGGATCTATATTTGAGTGAAACAATTTTGTGGTGGTATATGTAGTTTTAAACCTCGTGTATCAACAAAGCGTGATTACAATAATATTCTGTTCTATCTTACGAGTTTATGAGCATCATCGGCATTTGTACATCACTTGTATAACATAAAATAAAAACTAATTTTTAGAATAACATAAAATAATACATCTGATTTTTTAGTAAAAAATTGATGTAATTAAATTTCTGCTATATAACAGTGCAATTAATTTTTTAAACAGTATTTATATAGGTAATGTATACACATAAATTTTCAGTAATTCTCGTAAATAATTTACATAAATAAAAAAAGTTATCATTGCACGTTATCAAAAATATGAAAATGTTGGAAAATAAGAAAATATGAAAATATCAATTTGTAACATTTTACAAAATGAATAAAAAATAGTTTTAAGTACCCTTAATTTTATGGATTGTTTTATCATAAAATTCTTTATTTCAGATGAATATAGTTATTTTAAGATATTTATTAGAACTAGTATCATTAAGAAGGTATATGAAGGAGAAAAAGAATATGAAAAGATAAAGAAAATTTGTTTAATCTCAAAAAATGGCAAATGATTTAGTGTGTGAAAAGAAATCAACACGTTTTTTGAAAATTCCTTTGAAATCAACTGAACAGATTTATTTAATTTTTTTAATTCCAACATTGATCAATTGTTTTGTATATATAATTCATTTTTCTGCTGATTTAGTAGTTGCTATACAGCATTTTAAAGAACATAACGTAGTATGGGGTTGTTGTACCATTGGTTTTATGTATGCACCAGCAATTGCATACTTTATGTTAACTGTTTCAAGACCAGATTGGTGGATGTCAAATGACGATAAATTAACGAAGAATATCTTTTACTGGTTTTCTATTCAACTTTGTCAATTGATGGCCTTTGTTTTTTTTTCTCTGTATAGGTATTAATATCTTCTACTCAAAATTAATAATGTCTCTAGTGATTTATACTAATATAATTTTTTAATTGTTTTATATTATAATTTTATAATTATTTTCTAGGTATGCAGTTCTTATAGTATTATCTATTGAAGCTATTATTTTAAATGGAAGAGAGAGGACAGAGACTTTAAATATAGCAAGTGCTCCTGCAGCTATAGAATTATATTTCTTTTTGCAAGCATGGTTTCAAGCAGTTCCTCAAGCTCTTTTTCAAACACACTTACTTTTTCGTGAATCATCATTTTACCAGACTCATCAATCTGGTATTTTACTATATACATACAGTATAATTCTAACTAAATCATAAATCTAATTTATTAATTATAAATTTATTGATTATAGTAGTTGTAAAGGTGCTTTCTATTATTATGTCTGTTGTAATACTTGCTATTCAAACTACCTCTTTTCAAAGATTTGAAAGTCAACGTATTAATGGTAGAAAATTACCATGGGCAATGTGGTTAAAAAAATATTGTGTTCAGGTATTTTAATATTAAATAGAACATGATTATTTGCAACATATAAAAATTTGTTTTTTAAAAATATTTAATTAACTTTTATAATTATAGGAACTTCATGATTTTGAAGAAAGAGAACCTCTGAAATTATCTGATATAAAGAGAAATAACACTATAGAGGATTGTCGGGAAGAAAAAGAATCTATAAAAATTCAACATGAAGATAAAGAGCAATCTAATTCCCACATTACTTTAGATCGTCAAGTGTCTGTGACACCTCCTTTACCACCTAAAAATGTATATATCACACCACCTCCAACTCCTTTACGTGGAATTACTACAGTTACACCTTTGCCTATACCAGATGTACCAGCTCCACCAAGACCAGATTCTATATGTACAATTCCAGAAAATTCAGAATCTGAAAAATTATTTACTAAAGCAATATCTATTGGAGATACAAAAAAAAGCATAAGCACTACACAAAATTTAAAAGTTCCACAACGGAGATATTCGACAAAAGGTTTAGAAGAAGATGATCCTGTAGGAAAATTTTTAAGTTTTTTATGGTGGTTTTTTTTTATTTTAGCACGTATACTTACTATTGCCACGTTTCATGAATTTTATCCATTTTACTTATCTATTGTGCTTGGTATACATTATAGTATTATGTTAATATATCTTTTTTATTATACAAAATATTATGACATTATTACTTTTTTTCTTAATTTATGGTTAGGATTAATATATATAGTTAGTTTAATTGAATATAGAATTAAATTTAAATATGCAGATAAGTGGGTATTGCCATATTATATTTTTGTATTAATACAAAATACGTTCTTAACTTTATCTTGGTACTTTTACGCAGATTGGGATGGATTTTGGTATACTTATATATTTTATGTTATTTTTGGAGCTATGACACTATGTGTTTTATCAACTATAATTTATTGTGCTTTACTTAAACCAAAGAAACATAGGATTTATACCAGTTGACAAATGCATAAAATTGTAAAATATTCATTGAAATGTGATTTCATAAATGCTTTTAATTTTTATATATTATTTTAACATACTTATTTATACAAATCATTTATAAAACAGATATGTTAAAAAATTATTATAGATACATCATTATTATGAAACAGTAGTAGTTGATACAATTAAAATTTGTAGTTACAATTTTTTAATCTAAAATGAAAAACAGGACTGATATTAATCATTACATATATATTTATTATACACTATTATAAATTAAGTAGCTATATTTATGAAATATAGAAAAATCCGTCTAAAAATTTTTACAAATAGTTACTAGATACGGCAGCATTTCTTCTTATCTACGAATTTTATATCTGTATAATATTTACATTACATATTTATATACAGAAATACTTATGCGAATACTTACAAGTATTAAAATATGTATATTTCTTATTTTGTGTTTTCTTTCATCTTTAAAGATTTTACATATTAAAATTTAAATACTTATCATTTCATTAGAATCACTTTATTTCCGCAATATTTGTAATTTTAACTAAAAAATAGATCATATTATTTTATATCTGATTGCTAAATCTTGGCAGAAAATCACTTTGAAATTATTATTAAAGTAGTACATTCATTCATTTATGACTATGTGATCTATTTACACACATTCCTTAATTTATCTATTATGTCTTTTTCATACATGTATATTAGAATCTCTATGAAGATTTCCTAATTGTGCTTCAAACAAAATATCATTTAATAATTTTTCAGCTATAATTCTTTGGTCTAATCTCATATTTCGGAGTTTTGCTGCAACATTTCGTCCAATTGCATCAAATTCATCTTCCATTACGAATGAATTATTGTGCGATATTTTTAAAAGATCAGAACATTCAGCTTCATCTAACTTACGTCTACGAATTAATGAACTTTCTGACCATTCATTAGATTGATCATAAGCTTCTTCATTTCCTGGTTGCCATTCATCCTAGATAAATATAACTTTTTAAATTCCTATAAGATTTTAATTTTTGCCATATTCAATTAAGGTCATAAACAATGTGCTTACTGTTTTGTAACATTTTCTATATCCCCTTTTTGTTCTTATTATTTCTGGACATTTATCTGCTGATAAATCAATATATATCATTGCAGGCTTCCTTTGATTAGATTTACATTTAATTTTGTCAACCATAAAAGGATGTACTCTCTGTAGAACACTTAGATTAATTAATATAAAATAATTATATTAAACTTGAAGTATTTTAAAAATAAATAGATCTTACTTTGATATGACTCAAAAAGTTTCCAGTGGATTTTAAATTTCCATTTAAATGTTTCTGACATTGTAAACACCGTACTGTTACATTACTATCTTCTACTCTAATTACTGTAAAGAATTCTCCATCAAGTATAGCTGGCAATCGAATTGGAGTAAGAGTCATACTTTGTTGTGTATTAGATTGTATCTGTGAGATTTGATTAGGTTGATTTTGTTGATGTTGTTCTGATTCATGTTGCTGATTTTCATGATTTTCTTGATTCTCTACTTCGGCTGTTTGAGAAGATGTGTGTCCACTGACTGTTTCAGATACTTCTCGCTGTTGATTTGCAGCATCAATCATACATGTGTCAAAACTTTCAATCTTTGTTTCATACCTTTGTGTAGGAAATGTGTCCATGATCTTATAATGCATGCAAAATTTACTCTAATAGGAGAGTGCGTTAAATAAGAAGTCCAACAATTTTAATAAATTGTACAAGAATAACTCTTCAAATATGTGAAAAGAAATAAAAGATCATGATTTTTATTGACAGTGAAGCAATTTACTATTATTTATCTTGTTTTTTTATTGAATTTTAGATAAGCTGTTAGATAAGAATGTTATATGCATAACAAATCAAGATCAGATAATAGATGAGAGAATGTAATACCATTGACTAAGAGGATAGACTGGACATCCAATGCTTTTTCGTGTCCCAGGTTTTGAAAGTCACCTGACCTTCTTACCATTTTCGTGTCACATCCTATCGTATCGACTTAGGCAAGTTTTTATCCTATTCTTAGTCACAGACGAGGTATATAAATAGACATTGCATCTTACGAATTTTCATGACCCGCGACCTGAAATACCGACATAGTAAAAAATCACTGATTTTTTAGCGCACTCTATGTTTAAACTACAGTGAGTTGGGGAACTAGTGAATGAACCAGCATGATTGTCGAAATCCATTATAGTGTTGTCAAACTTTCAGTAGCGAAATGTGAAGCTAGTAATCACAGATGAAATATTCTACTCTACATCAGAAAAAACTCTATTCATGTTTTACGAATTTAACACATTTTTCAATATATAATAACTTAAAATTATTAATATGTTACACATGGTTTTATGTATAAATTTGTAACTAACAAAATTTTCAAATTTTATGTATTTTATTATATATAATAATTTTATATATTATATTATCAATAATATTAAAATATTAAAATTATTATGTTTCCTCATTTACATATTCCTTACATTACATCATAGACGAGGTATATGAATAGACATTGCATGACCAGTATTTTCACGGCCATGATAAAAAGTCGACATAATCATACCATTCTCGTGTCACATCCTGTTGTACCGATTTTGCGACCGCAGCGCTACTAGTAAGGAAAATTAAAATTAAAAAAATATGAACAGTGTTGCCAGCCTATTTAGAGAATTATTTATTGAACTGAATGGATGATTGAATTGAATCAATGAAGAAATATAAACAGCGAATTTAAAACAGCGACTAATGGAAATTGGAATGAAAAATTTAGTATACATTTGACTATTAACACCTATTTAAAAGTATTAGAAAAGATTGACTGAAATACAATATTTTTATAAACAACATAATTAACTACGACGTTTTTTTATTTACAAATATGTAAAG